CATCAGATGTCCTCGTTTTTTATTTTATCTAATGTTAATTGACGAATGATTACATATAGGTGTTCGTAACACATAGTGAAAAATAATAATAATTTTAGGTAGATATTTTCGTATTTAAAATTTATTTATATATCAAATATCGGATCTAAGGCATACCTAGTGAAGAGAGTATCATTCCAAAATTTATTCGATAGTGCGAATACTCTATGTGTATCCACACCGAGACCGATCCTTGCTATCAACTCTTTAATCAATGAAAACCGCGAACAAATTGAACGAAAAACTTGTGCTGAAATTTTTCTCAAAAATCTCAACTCAAATTAGAAGAACAAGAAATACTTTTCTTGTAATTGTATTTTCTCTTTTGGCTTTGTATTGCACGCTCATTTTCACAAAGTGTTTTTCTTCTCAAGAATTAATAATTCAATAAATTTTCTTCATCGCCCTTTATATAGCATCATCTATAAACTCTTTTCCTATTTAGTTGATGTAATGATTTGCTTAGGATAAAAGTTTATTCCAAAAATAAACTTTACACAAAAAATCGACAATCACGTTCCCATGGTAACGTGACTGCCGAAGTTTACTTTATGAACTTTCCATAGGTCCACTTCCAAATTAAACAATATAAGAGTCTTCCAATGAAAATATATATCTGCTCCTAATGGGAATCACGTGCATGCCAACTACCTCTGTGGACTTTCATCTCCAATTCCAAATTGGTAAGGATAAACTAATATTCTCGGAAAATTTCATATAAGAATATTTGAACTTTATGCCTTTTAATTTTATAGCTCATATTTCAATTTACAATCAAATAACTTAAAAATAATAGGCTAAGATTCAACATGCAACTCCAATAGATTCTAAAAATTATTATTTAATTTTTAAAAATGATTGCTCAAGCTTTTAAGTTAATTTTCGAATCAGTAACAGTAACTCAAATATTAGTTCAACAAACCAAATCCATTTGGATGGTGAAAATTAAATTTTTAACAACCTTAAACATGTGGGTTTAAATTTCAAATCTGATTTTGTGAGAAATTTGAAGTGGGTGTTATTTAGACTTGTTAAAAATAGTATAAGGAGGTTGTATATAAAATTTGAAGTCATTTAATGGAGATTTGGACTGATTTTGAACAAGAATTGTAACTGAAAATCGTGGAAGAAGTTCGTCTACGTACGATTGTATAAAAGTGTATACTAGTGTATGAGATCATATACACTATTATACAAGATTATACATAATTATACAAAAAACTGACTTCGTCTTCTTCCTTGCGTCTTTTCTAGAATTTAACTCAATTCTTGCTCAAATATACTCCAAATCACTTCAAATTTAAATTTTGAATTCCTTTTGATATTTTCAATCAATTGGAACAACACCCAATCCAAGCAACTAACAAACTCAAAAAAATTTATTTTCGAAAATAAAGTTTTGAATGGCTTTCAATGGTGGACTTTACTCTTCAATTTTCTTATATTGAAATCAGGTGACACAGGGTAAGAAGCAGCAATGGCGGACGACCCTTTGAAGCATATGCAGAAGATGTGAGAAGAAGAGAGAGTGAAAGCAATGGTTGTGAAAACACATATTTAACTCCATAGCTTTTAGAAGCATTGGTTGTAAGAACACAAGTTTTGAATTTACTAGTGCTTTCAAAATATGTACAATATAGCTAGCTTGGGTAAAACTTAAAAATATGGGCCATTTTTTATTATGGTGTGAAGTCATGTGTATTTTCTTGTAATTCTTTCTAGGATTAGTTACCTCCTATAGCAAAGGTTGATACCTTATTTATTTTAAATAAATACCATTTTAAAAAATTATATTTTATAACTACCTTTTGATTTTTATAGCCAAATACCTATTTATAGTCACCTTCTACCCTTAAGCCATAAAATACGTTGCCCTCTCTCTCATAAAATACGTTGCCTCCCTGGCTTGAACCTAATGAAGGCAACGAAATTTCCATGGCCAACTCCAGTATGTTTCTTCTTCCCCTTCCTTTCCGATTTTGATTGTTTTTGGAAGTAGATTGTTCTTCTTTATCATCAACGGGTATTTTTTGGGACTTTAACTTCTTGGAAATTTCTTCTTCAGTGGGTGCTAGCAATTTCTTCCGATTCGTTACCAGCGGGTGCTAGCCAAATTTAGTTCTGGGACTTTAACTTCTTCAGATGCGTTACGGATGCTAGCAATTTCTTCTTCGGCGATCTTTCTCGTTTTTTTCTTCTTTCTCTCATCGCTGCTTATGGAATCATGGTCGGAATCCGATGGGTCATCGAAAAATCGTCGACTAAAATAGGTCGTCTGAAGTTTGGGGTTGAGCAATTTGAAGATTTTCTTACCTTTTTTTTAAGAGCATTTCAATGTATCTCGCTGTATTTCTATGTATTTCATTGTATTCACTATCTTTTTTTATTGTAATTCAATGTATCTCGTTGTATTCCATGTATTTCATTGTATTCAGTGTCTTTTTTCTCATTGTATTTCAATGTATCCCGATGTATCTATGTATTTCATTGTATTCACTGTCTCGATTTATGCCATGAATGTATTGATATTTTTTTTAATTAATATAATTTATGTATTCAGATGTATTATATAATTTCTCTGAAGATTGCTATGTTTTTGGGGTATTTTTTAGTTGAGAATCTTTTTAACTGAAAAATACAAAATTTGTGTGTTATAATTGAGTTTGTTGAGTTATATTAGGAGTCTATTATGTTAATTGATTCGCTTTCCATTTTAAAAACAGTGTAATCCCATATTTCACGCCGTGAATATAGTCGAATACAATAATCTGTGCAGCTGTAATCCCATGTTTCACTCCATGAATACAGTCGAATACACTCGAATACAACAACTGATTAGCTGGACTTCCCTGATTAACGCATATTTTTGCTACTGTATTCATGAATACAATAGCTTAAATACATCAAATACATCTTATAACAACAGAAAATGTATCTATACTCCGTAATATAGCAAATGGTATCTATAGATGGCTAATTACTACTAAAAGATAGTGCTTTATGAAAATTTCTCTTCTTTCTATTATATATATAACCTTTATATAAATTAATATTATTTTATATTATATATATCATATATATTTCAATGAAGAGATATAATTTAATTTTCTATTTCAAATAGAAAACTTAAATTTGTTCACAATATTAATTATGTCTTCTGTGCTAGCAAATAATATAATAATATTTTATTTGGATTAATAAATTTAATTTACTTGACTAATTAAATTCTTTAATTTAATTATCAAATAAGAAAAAAGCAGAACATTCGTTAGTGTGCGTCTAGCAATACTAAACCGGTAGTAAATTGATCATATCAATATACTAATCAAGGGTGGCGTCTAGCAACACTCCTTAACGACCGAATAGCATGAAGTATACAGTTTACTCTCAAGAGCCCGTAGAAGAATAAAGTAGTATTTTTTTCTGTCCTTATAGCTCTGAGTCATCCTAGGATATGGTTCAACTGTCAAATCCTAATAGGCGACCAATTATGTGTTCATGTCAAATATAATCAACCATTGAATGACCTAAGAAACTCTTTTCTTCTTTCATTCAATCGCCCTGACCAAGGTCTTAGTTTGATCGTTTATAATTCATGACAACATGGAGCTTAAACTCATTACCAATAGTTGACAGATTCCATCTTGATCAATTACTAATTATACAAGCATTTAATCATACCCAATATCCTTTCAACTATCGCCCTAGGCTCATAGGTGTCTGGTATCAAAGCACAATAAATAACTTGTCAATTACTATGAGGACTTCAGGTCAAAGGAAATTCTTACATCATATTTTTCAAGAGAATATCCCATTGACAGTTTATGGTAATTCTAACCATTAGGAATTATCCAGTGAGTCGGTTCAATGATCATATCTCTATATGCATCATCTATTTATGTGATTTAGTTAATGAGATCAACTAATCTTTATCCCATAAAGACAATCACATAAATATTGATCTAACCGGATTACTAGTGTCCAAATTAATAATCCTACGATCAAGAACAAATTTAGATTAAATTATAAGAAACTTCAGTTCCATTATCATGATCTCTATCATAATGTCAAGCCTCAAAATTTAATCAAGGACCTTATCAAATTAATCAAGCAATTAATAAAAATGATAAAAGAATATCAAATG